TTTTTTTTAAAAAGACACAGTTCTGTTTCATTGAACTATCTGTATTTATACTGTTACCACAATGTAATAATTAACATAGGTTTACAAAAATCTTTATATCTGATAGAGTAAAACTTCACAATATGTTTTACTTCTTTAATTTTCTCTATATACTTTGCGTTTATATAAAATATGTATTCAGACCTGGCCGGTTTGGCTCAGCAGTTAGAGCGTCGGCCTGTGATCCAGAGAGACCCAGGTTCAGTTCCTACTAAGGGCATGTACTTCGGTTGCAGTTTGTCCCTGGCCCTGGTTGAGTCGTGCGGGTGGCAGCCACTCGATGTGTCCCTTTCATGTCGATGTTTCTCTCTCTCTCTCTCTTCTTCTTCTCTCTCCCTCCTACTCTATCTGAACAAAAAATGCAAAAATGTCCTCGGGTGAGAATTTAAAAAAATAATAATAAATAAAATAAAATAAAATATGAATTCATCTTTTTAATTACCACCTAAAATTAAACAAATTAAGACACTTAAAAAAAAGATTTGCTAAATAAACAAATGACTATGCACCTTCCCTCAGGGTAGCTAACATCATCCCAGATTCAATAACCTCCCATCCCCCTTCCCTACTCTTAAAAGTGTTGCTTCTTCCTCAAGGTACATACATGGACATCCTTTCTATGACATTATCTCCTTACCCCTTGAGTTAAAATTCTCTCTCCTTTGTGCTCTCATAAAAATTGTTTGTAATACTATTATAAAGTTTTCTCTATCCTTATTCATAATACATGCTTATACTACCTCATCTAATGAGGAAAATCAACCCTCTATCACAATCAAAAGAAACGGATTTCATGTGTTGGAATCAAGCCACAGGCAATGTCCTATATGCTTCATTCTCTAACTGTCATAATACCCTTTGTTCTTTGGAAGAAATGTGGTGGCCCCACTGTTTTGTTTTGTAAGCAAACCTGAGCACCTCCTCACAGGTATATTTTGCATGTTTACTACAACTCTCCTTGTTTTCAAAATGTAAATTTGAATCTCTTTATATGTATGTTTGACCTCCATTACACTTGCTCTACCCTTTTTTCAAAATATATACTTGAATCTCTTTTCAAATTTATATGTTGAATTTACTTATTTGTGACTGCGAGGATCTCCACCTTTGGGTCCATAAACAATGCCCAGAAAGAGCAGGGGAATCTTGAGTTATATTCATGTATAAGAAGAGAACTGAACTATAACAGTCCTTGGCTTCTGGATGGCGGTCAATCCTCCTCATTTCTCCTTGTGTGCCAGATTTTTAAGTAAATGTTGAGTCTGTGGGCTTATTTTCACAACAATCTGGTGTAGCTGACTGGAATTGGAGCAAACAGACCCTGATGATAGTGGAGTGGGCCATAGAATGAGAACTCAGTGAGCATATCATAAAACCTCTTGTTGTCCTGGTTTTTTGGTCTCTTCCTTAGCTTCCCTCCACTGCCAAGGGATTCCAGCCACAGCTCCATCCCTGAGCTGGTTTTAGCTCAGAATGGCTTTTGTCTTTGACAGTAGGCTTTATAGACCAAGCCCGTCTATTTGTCTAGGCTCTGTGTCACTCCCTTTCATACCTTAAAAGAAGTGAAAAATCTCTGGCTGGTTTTGCTCAGTGGTTAGAGCATTGGCCCTCGGACCAAAGAGTCATGGGTTTAATTCTGGTCAAGGGCATATGCCTTGGTTGTGGGTTTAGTCCCTGGCCCTGGTTGGGGTCATGTGAGAGGCAACCAGTCCATGTGTTTCTCTCGAGTCGATGTTTCTCTCTAGTCGATGTTTCTCTCTCTCTCTCTCTCTCTCCCCCCCCCCACCCTGTCTGAAGATAAATTGAAAAATATCCTCGGGTGAGGACTTAAGAAAAGTGAAAGGAAGAAAGACAAGAAAAAAAAAGAGGAGTAAAAAATTTAGGATACATTTTTTGAAATATTTGTTAAGTCTTGAGAGATTTATAATTATATTAATAGAGAAGCTCCAAAAGCAAGAGACTATTTAAAGAAATAGCCAAGAGAGAAAACTGGCTTCATGCACTTGGAGAATCTGCACAGACAGAGATTTCAAAAACATGGAGCCAATTACATGTGTATAGAACTGGCTCCATGAGAGCCGGGAGCCACTCTGTCTTGCTAATCATATTACCAGTGCTTACCCCAGTGGGAACACGTAGTAAGCCACTGAAAGGAGAGAAGAAGAGAGGAAAAGTGAGGGAAGGAGGGCAAGAGGGAATGAAGCACTATTTTGCCTTCATTCTATATTGCAAGCAATATTTTCCTTTTGAGTAACAACCACAATATACCCTGTATCAAGAGAAAGTTCTTAAATAACCATTACAGAGGTATATATATTTTTCATAAGCCTTATATTTATATTGACATTAAGCAACCTCAGTACAGTTGCCCTTTCTTTTTATTTCATATTTTCCCTCAGATAATCTTTACTTCTTTTTTTTTTTATCTTCACCCAAGGATATGTTTACTGATTTGACACACACACAGAGAGAGAGAGAGAGAGAGAGAGAGAGAGAGACCAACGTGAGAGAGAAACATCAATCGATTGCCTCCCATATTTGCCCTGACCAGGGATAGAACCCCCAACCTAGGTATGTGCCCTGACTAGGAACTGAATCTACAACCTTTTGGTGTGCAGGATGACACTCGAACCAACTGAGCACCGGCCAGGGCAATCTTTACTTCTTTGAACATTTCAACATGCTTGGCTATATTTATTAATTGCATTTCTAGAGCTGCTTCAATATATTACAGGGCCTTTCCTACACTCTCTTAAAAGGTCTTCCCCTTCTCACAGTAAATTAACAAGAAAAGTCTAAAGAGTGTTCACAAATTCTGCCAATATGTATAGACTCTTTTTTAGTAGTTCTTAGATTTAACAGAAAAACTTAGTTTTCAATGCCTCTTGGGGGATGCTTATGGCGTGGGAACATATATACTTAGAAAATAAAATTTAAAGTGTTTATTGAAAAAAATATTTGAGACAAAAAAATTATATCAATCATCTGGACTATAATTAATATTGCTGAATTATTACCTTGAGAGCAAAATAATGTTGTCTTGAGGGGAAAAAAATGCTTCCTCCTTGCCTATAATTTTACATTTAGTAAATGCCAGTGATAAATATCTTTACGTGTATAGTCTTCATGCAATGTAAAATTAAAATTTTAAACCATTTAAACAGAAAGAGGTGTGGAACTCAGTGAGGCAGTTTATTTGAAACAACCTAAAACCGTAATAATGTCAATTTTTCACAACTCAACCATCTCAACTCATAAATTTGTTTTCAGTGCCATCTTGAATCAGCACAGGAAGATTCTGAATAACAACATGGACTAAGACTTATCCTGAAGCACATAAATCATTTTTGACATATATGTTCATAACAACAGGCTTCAGAAGAAAAGGGAACAGTGAAAGTTCTAAGAAACTGGGCAGGAATACTTCCTAACGTTCAGTGGTTTAGATGAGTTGCTAAATTCTAAAAGTATATGTAGTTTTGTGAAAAAATAATTTTATTCACTATGCAGACAAAAAGTCCCTTTGAACTTGCTCTATTTGGGGGTAATTTTGTGACTCAAAGAACTCTTCAGATTTCCCCAGGGATGCTCTAATCATTTCTCCCTTTTGCCCTTCAAAGACCTCAAAAAATCCAGTTTTGTGTCATATGTATACCAGAGACATTCAGAACATATATTTCTTACTAAATAATTAGGAGTAGAAGAGCAGGCCTTTGTGAGTAAATGAGAGCTTTCCCATATAGTTGAGAATAAGTCCCTTAAAACTCAATATTTCACAATAAGTCCTTAATATTCATTAAGAGATCAACATTCAAACCAAAGTATTGTGGTTCTGAGAGATTTTCTCCATTTCACAGTTCAGCCAAAGAGCACCTTTTGGAGCAATATTTGAGAACTAGGGAAAGTGGATGGAAAACATATATACATATATATTTAAATATAAATGAAGTCCAAATCTTCACAACTAAGCCAAGCCAGAAATGTCTGGAGTTCGCCACAGATACTACAATCCAGCAGGTCATTTGGGGGCGGGGGAGTCGTAAAAACAATTTCTGTGTGCTCTTGAAGCCGAATTAACTACCACGTCCTATGTAAGTCACCCCTGGATGGGGCAACAGTCTTTTTCTTCTGTACTCGCCATTATTTGTTCTGATACTTCTTTCTCTCCTTCTCCGTATTTCAGAGAAATTAGCAAATCTATCGATTATCAAAACTTTCAATTATTTTAATAATTTAAATATATCTTAGGAAGCATAAACTCGTGTGAAATGACATCAGCCCTCCTGACTTCATTCCGGCATTTGCTGCTGCTTCTGCCATTTGCCGTCTCGGGCTGGCCGTCCCCTGCGGGCGGCTGCAGGATGCTCCTCCACGGAGGGGGCTGCTCCTCCTCCGGGCTTGTCCCCCAGGGGCTGCTTCTGTAGGGGTCTCACACTATCCCCAGGGCTCCCCTCCCCCACCCACTTCCTCTTGGGGGCCGCCCGTCTGGCCTCGGCTCCCTTCCCCCCCAAAACTGAAGGTGCCTGAAGGCCTCTGGACCCCGTCCCTCCTCTGCAGGCTGGGGTCCCGCTGGGAAGCAGGGGTCCCTCCGGAACCTCGCTCTCGGGCTGCTAGGACCCCCCCCCCCCGGAACGGGCCCCTCTGCTGCCTCGGTTGTATGTGAAACTGGGCTCTCGGACGGCGCCGGGCCTTTCCGGCGCCCGGGCGCTCGCCTCACTGTGCCCAGTTCAAGGCCGGGCTGATCTCGGGCTGTTCCGGCGGCGCCGTGGCCGCCATTTCCCGACGTGCGGCCGGGAAGCCACGCTCCCCAGGCGCCGCCACCGCCCACCGCCCGCCCCTGGCGCAGCGCCCTGGCTCCTACCTCCGGAAGCGAGGTGTCGTGTGCGGCAGGGGCACTGCCGGCCGCCATTCGCCCTGCGCCCTGCGCCATCACACCGCCCGCTCTCTCTGCGGCAGCGCCGATGGCGTCCTCCGTGGGCAGCATGGCCGACGGCGCGGGACTGGCGGAGTCGGCGCAGCGGGAGTACCAGGCCGGGGACTTCGAGGCCGCCGAGAGGCACTGCATGCAGCTCTGGAGACAAGAGCCCGACAATACCGGTGTGCTTTTATTACTTTCCTCCATCCATTTCCAGTGTCGTAGGCTGGACCGGTCGGCCCACTTCAGTACGCTGGCCATTAGACAGAACCCGCTGCTGGCCGAAGCCTATTCGAATTTGGGCAATGTGTACAAGGAGCGGGGGCAGCTGCAGGAGGCCAGCGAGCATTACCGGCATGCACTGCGCCTCAAGCCGGACTTTATCGATGGTTACATTAACCTGGCCGCGGCGCTGGTGGCCGCCGGCGACATGGAAGGGGCGGTCCAAGCGTACGTCTCTGCGCTTCAGTACAACCCGGACCTGTACTGCGTTCGCAGTGACCTGGGGAACCTGCTCAAAGCCCTGGGGCGGTTGGAAGAAGCCAAGGTATGTTATCTCAAAGCAATTGAGACGCAACCGAACTTTGCAGTAGCTTGGAGTAATCTTGGCTGTGTTTTCAATGCGCAAGGGGAAATTTGGCTGGCAATTCATCACTTTGAAAAGGCGGTCACCCTCGACCCCAATTTTCTGGATGCTTACATCAATTTAGGCAACGTCTTGAAAGAGGCACGGATTTGTGACAGAGCTGTGGCAGCTTACCTGCGTGCCCTCAGCCTGAGCCCAAATCATGCCGCGGTACACGGCAACCTGGCTTGTGTATACTATGAGCAAGGCCTCATAGATCTGGCAATAGACACCTACCGGCGAGCCATTGAACTGCAACCCCATTTCCCTGACGCTTACTGCAACCTCGCCAATGCTCTCAAAGAGAAGGGCTGTGTGACTGAAGCAGAAGATTGTTATAATACAGCGCTCCGGCTGTGTCCCACCCATGCAGACTCGCTGAATAACTTAGCCAATATCAAACGAGAACAGGGGAACATTGAAATGGCAGTTTGCTTGTATCGCAGCGCGTTGGATGTCTTCCCTGAGTTTTCTGCTGCCCATTCAAATTTGGCAAGCGTACTACAGCAGCAGGGAAAACTGCAGGAAGCTCTGATGCATTATAAGGAGGCTATTCGAATCAGTCCTACCTTTGCTGATGCCTATTCTAACATGGGAAACACGCTAAAGGAGATGCAAGATGTCCAGGGAGCCTTGCACTGTTACACACGTGCCATTCAGATTAACCCTGCGTTTGCAGATGCCCACAGCAATCTGGCTTCCATTCACAAGGATTCGGGAAATGTTGCTGAAGCAATCGCTTCTTACCGCACTGCTCTGAGACTTAAACCTGATTTTCCTGATGCTTATTGCAACTTGGTTCATTGCCTGCAGATTGTCTGTGATTGGACAGACTATGATGAGCGAATGCAGAAGTTGGTCTGTATTGTGGCTGACCAGTTAGAGAAAAATAGGTTGCCTTCTGTGCATCCGCATCATAGTATGCTATATCCTTTTTCTCATGGCTTTAGGAAGGCCATTGCTGAGAGGCATGGGAATCTCTGCTTGGATAAGATCAGTGTTCTTCAAAAACCACCATATGAACACCCAAAGGACTTGAAGCTCAGTGATGGTCGACTGCGTATAGGATATGTGAGTTCTGACTTTGGGAATCATCCTACTTCTCACCTTATGCAGTCTATTCCTGGCATGCACAATTCTGATAAATTTGAGGTGTTCTGTTATGCCCTGAGCCCAGATGATGGCACAAACTTCCGAGTGAAGGTGATGGCAGAAGCCAATCATTTCATTGATCTTTCCCATATTCCATGCAATGGGAAAGCAGCTGATCGCATCCATCAGGACGGTATACACATCCTTATAAATATGAATGGTTATACAAAGGGTGCACGAAATGAACTCTTTGCTCTCAGGCCAGCTCCTATTCAGGCAATGTGGCTGGGATACCCTGGAACTAGTGGGGCACTCTTCATGGATTACATCATCACCGATCGGGAAACTTCACCAGCTGAAGTTGCTGAGCAGTATTCTGAGAAACTGGCTTATATGCCCCATACTTTCTTTATTGGTGATCATGCTAATATGTTTCCTCATCTGAAGAAAAAGGCAGTCATTGGTTTTAAGTCCAGTGGGCACATTTATGACAATCGGACTGTTCTGAATGGCATCAACCTCAAAGCATTTCTTGATAGTTTACCAGATGTGAAGATTGTCAAGATGAAATGTCCTGATGGAGGAGACAACGCAGACAGCAGTAATACGGCTCTTAATATGCCAGTTATTCCAATGAGTACTACTGTAGAAGCAGTTATGGAAATGATTAACAGAGGACGAATTCAGACAACAATTAATGGATTTAATATTAGCAACGGACTGGCAACTACCCACATCAACCATAAGGCTGCCACTGGAGAAGAGGTTCCCCGTACCATTATTGTAACCACACGTTCTCAGTATGGCTTACCAGAAGATGCCATTGTGTACTGTAACTTTAATCAGTTATATAAAATTGACCCTTCTACTTTGCAGATGTGGGCAAATATTCTGAAGCGTGTTCCCAATAGCGTGCTGTGGCTGTTGCGTTTTCCAGCAGTAGGAGAACCTAATATTCAACAGTATGCATACAACATGGGCCTTCCCCAGAACTGTATAATTTTTTCACCTGTTGCTCCTAAGGAAGAACATGTCAGAAGAGGCCAGCTGGCTGATGTCTGCCTGGACACTCCACTCTGTAATGGGCACACCACAGGAATGGATGTCCTGTGGGCTGGAACACCCATGGTGACTATGCCAGGAGAGACTCTTGCTTCTCGAGTTGCAGCTTCCCAGCTCACTTGTTTAGGTTGTCTTGAGCTTATTGCTAAAAATAGACAAGAATATGAAGACATAGCTGTAAAACTGGGAACTGATCTAGAATACCTGAAGAAAATTCGTGGCAAAGTCTGGAAGCAGAGACTATCTAGCCCTCTGTTCAACGTCAAACAATACACAATGGAACTAGAGCAGCTCTATCTACAGATGTGGGAGCATTATGCAGCTGGCAACAAACCCGATCATATGATTAAGCCTGTCAAAGTCACTGAGTCAGCCTAAATAAAGACTATATGCACAGGAGAATTACTCCTCTCTGAGCCTCAACCTTCAGGAAAAAGGGAACTAGATAATGTACTTCTTACTTATGTGTATAGTATCATGTTGCAGATCGGTGACAAATAACAATAGAATAGCACAGCCTGAGTTGCGTTGTGCATGATAGGAACACAGGAGACGAGAAACTGCTGTTCTACAAGGAATCACCATAGAATTTTGCAGCAACCAGGTGGTGCATAAATCTGGAAGGTGTGCTCTCCCTTGGTCTTCCATGGGATGGTTAGTGTGGAGGGGTGATCTAGACTGACCAGCCATTTTGTGATTCCATTGCCTGATTGATTAATTCTGAGTTATTTTTTCTTTATATTTTGGGTATTGGAGCTTTTAAAAATGTTTGGTTTCAGGTGATTTTATTCATGTGAAGTATATATGATTCTCTTGAGATAAGGCTTTAAGATAAAATGTTGCTCTTTGTTTTAGTTTCTGAACTCTAAAGATTAATGGGAACTTTGCTGGTGTAGTCTTTTTATAGGTTTTATAAACTATTTAAGCCTATATCAGTCGTTTGCTTGTCCAACCTCATAATTGGAGCTATCAGTGCTTTTTGAATTTAGATGATTCAGAATTTTTTTCTGGTCTATTTCCTTTCACCTACTTTAAAATTTCTCTTATAACTCAACTAACAAAACTAAGTCTGATTTAAAACATTTCAAAGTGTTTCTCTAAAACACATCATTTAGTGCCAAAGGACAATCCTCGGGAATGATTATTAATTATGAAGGGCAGAGTTGTACCGTCATTGATCATAATACTGTTTTTGTTTTTTAGGGGTTTTTTTTCTTTCTTTTGGCCTAGTTTTGATCTGTTTCACCAATGTTTTACCTTCAGCTGCGCCTCTATGCTGCTTCCCAAAGTGATAGTGTGTGATAAGGTTTTTACCTTTCTACGGTGTTTGTTTTTTTTTAATTAAGTTCTATTTCTAAGGTTTTGTGTTTTTTTTTATGAGTCCTGTTCTTCCTATTTCTGTCAGCAGAAATGAAATCCCAAGTAAATATAAGTATTCAAATATTTGATCACTAAGTTAAAGTTATTGTGCACACATTAAATAACTTTCATCAAAAACATGTTGCCCTGCCAGTTTGGCTCAGCGGTTAGAGTGTTGGCCCTCAGACCAGAGAGGCCCGGGTTCAGTTCCCGCTAAGGGCACGTACCTTGGTTGCAGTTTGTCCCCGGCCCCAGTTGGGGTTGTGTGGGTGGCAACCACTTGATGTGTCTCTCTCACATCAATGTTTCTCTCTCTCTTTTCCTCCATCTCTCCCTCCCGCTCTATCTGAAGATAAATGCAAAAATGTCCTCAGGTGAGGATAAAAAAGTATATATAGGTAAAAAGTTCTGAAGGACCCAGAACCAGCTATGTATATGAATAGTTACTTTTCAGACCTTCTAGAGTATTAAATAACTGTCTTCTGACTGGGTCTTGAAGTCTGTGTGGATTCAGCCTTAGTAGTAGCAAACTGTACTGCTATTTGGTTTGGAATATAAATTAGACTTTAGGCCATCTAGAACTTGAGTTCTTGGTACTAGAAACCATAGGAATAAAATTATTGAATTTCAACAAATGATGGAGGACTTGAGGCTTAAACAAACCAACATATGAATATGTCTTGCTGTACTGTACTTATGCTATACAGTAACAGTAACAGATCATTTTTTGTCTGCTAGTAGTGTTCTAGATTGTAGTGTCTTTCCAAAGACTAAGGCAGTGTACCTATTCTGTAGTTGCAGCTGATGCCTGAATGTATTCTAGCTGACAAATTACTGATTAATTAGAACTTAAATTTCTGAAAGTCCTACTGTACCAAAATCTGAGCAATGAGTCTTAAATATAATTTTTAGCCAGAATTACATGTTAACAAACTGTGTATCTTTTAACAATGTAAGTCAAGGAACATCAGTTTAGGGACTTCTTAATTTATTTTTTACCTGATTGAAATATTGAAGGTCGCCAGAATGGTTGCAGATAAACTGATGTTTGAAATTCACCAAGCTACTTAGTGTGGATTAGGATGATATACTTCTAGTATCCTCAAGGCTGTGACTTTACAGCCATTTTACATAGCACATCTTTCCTCCTATAGGGATTAACTTTTTCCTGGCAAGAAGAGTAGCCACTCTGGTTAAAGTTTAGCTTATTGTAACAGGCTTTGGTTTCTGGGTTACATGTCTATGGAAGACTTAATTATGAATAGATATATAGATATTTCTGGAAACTAATTGTTTTTTCTATTTTCTTCTTTATCAAAAAAGTAAAACATTTAAATTGTGCTATAGAAATCAGATGTTGTCTTGTGGTCTTTAAATAATAAGTGAATGATTTGCCCTTTAAAGAAAAACAACTTGGCTGGTCGGTTTGGCTCAGCTGTTAGAGCGTCAGCCTGCAGACCAAAGGGTCCCAGGTTTCATTCCAGCCAAGGGCATGTACCTCAGTTGCAGTTTGTCCCCTGCCCTGGTTGGGGTCTCCCAATTGATGTGTCTCTCTCACATCGATGTTTCTCTGTCTCTCCCCCACTCTGTCTGAAGATGAATGTAAAAATATCCTCGGATAAGGATTAAAACACACACACACACACACACACACACACCAAAAAACAACTGGCTGTTCACACACTGCCCAAAATGTCCTTCCTCTCCTTTTTCTGGCCAATTCTCTGTCATCTCCTAGGGAGGTCTACTTAGTAAACTCTTTTCTCTGAATTCTTCCATCCTCCATCCCTGTTCTTTAGCACATTTAACTAAAACTAATTACCTAGACTGTAGTCCTTAAAGGAAACACTATTGACCTTGAAGTCCCCAGTTCTTCTACATTATATTTCATTCACCCACTTATATACACATCTAATTCATATAATTATTTTTCAAAAGTCTACTATATGCCAGCAGTCTTGGGCTCCAAAGATCAGCAGTGAATGACACAAACAAGATCCCTGTTCTCTGGAAGTTTTTTTTAAAAATAGGATTAAGCCTGACAATGACCAAGTGGATAAATAAGATAATTTGAGTTGTTACTTGCTATTAAAAAAATATATAAATATGTATATGTATATGTGTGTGTATGTGTGTGTGTATATATATAGAGAGAGAGATATATCTCTATATATATATATAAACAAACAAACAGGGGCTTCCAGTCAAGATGGCTGCATGGGTAAACGCAGTATTCACATCCTCCTACAACCACATCAGAATTAAAACTAAACTACAGAACAACCATCATTCAGAACCACCTAAAATCTAGCTGAACAAAAGTCCTATAACTAAGGATATAAAGAAGAAACCACATTGAGACTGGTAGGAGAAGCAGAGACTTGCAGTGGGCTGGTCCTACCGCCATGTGTGGCAGATAAAAACAGGGATGGATATCTTGGCTGCAGAGGTCACCTCTGAGGAGTGAGGGGTCCTAGCCCCACACCAGGCCCCCCAGCCCAGGGTTCCAGTCCCCATAAAGTCTGGCTATAAAAACCAGAGTGGATTGTGGCTGAGTGAGATAGAGGACCTCTGGAGTCCCAGTTGTTCCTCTTAAAGTGCCCACACATTGACTTACTGGGATTCATTTGCTCTGAGCTCCAGCATTGGGGCAGCAGCTTGAATGGCACCAGGGACATACAAGGAGAAACTGAATTGTTTGGCATCAGGGTGAGAGCTGGAAAGGCAGCTTTCTCATAGAAATGTTGGCAGAGGCCATTGTTCCTTCTCCAAGGCTTCCCCAAACAGAGCATGGCAGTGGCACCATACCATAGTCTCCATCAACTTGGCTAACACTGTTCATCCCATCTGGTGATTCTCTGAGCCCCCTATCCCCACCCAACCCAACTTTTTGGCCCATTCAAACTGTTTCCAGTGACATTTTCATATAAATGGCTCATCTTTACTCATGTTTCAGATTTTCATAAAATCTCTCAAACAAGCAACATCTGGCTTCAGCATGCCCTGTACCTCTCACTGTGTGACCCCAGGTCCAGCATTAGCGGAAATGGGTTTTGGTCTGCAGCATGGCCTCTCCTAGGCATCTCCAAACCCAGCACAAGTAGCAGCCATATGCTGATCACTTTGTAACTCATGCCAGAAGGCCCTGGGCAAAACACAGGCAATGGCTAACCTTGGCTTGCACCTTACATGGGGCCCTAAAGACATCATACCCAGTGGACAGCTTCAGACAATGTCAAAGCACCACCCAACCACTTCCACAAGTGACATACTCAAGGGGTGGACTCAGCAGGCACCAGAGCCCCACTGAAGTAAGTCCTGCTCTGTGGGGTGGGCTCGTGCACAGCTGAGCCTCCATGGTGTCAGTGGTCACAGCCAGTTCTTGCAGCCAATTGACCTGGGGGTAACTCCTCCCCCTACTGACATGCCAACAGCAATCAAGGCTCAACTACAACTGGAGGGTGTACACAGTCCACATGGGGCAGGGTGCACACCTGGAGTTCCCAGCTCAGGTGAAAAGGGTGGCTGTGCCATGGACCCTACAGAATACCTACTACATTAGGCCATTCTACGAAGCCTGGGAGATGTAGTAACTCTACTTAACACATAGAAACAAATACAGGGAAAATGGCAAAATGAGGAGACAAAGAAACAGGTTCCAAATGAAAAAACAAAATGAACTCTAGAAACAGACCTAAGCAAATTGTAGACAAATAATCTACTAGATGCAGAGTTAGAAACACTGGTTATAAGGATGTTCATGAACTCAAGGGAAGAGTATATGAACTTAGTGAGAACTTCAACAGCATAAAAATGGACATGGAAACCATTAAAAAAAAGAAAGTCAGAAATGAAGGATACATTAACTGACATGAATAATTGACAGGGAATCAACAGTAGAGAAGATGGCCCAGCTCACTGGTTGAGTATCGACTCATGCACCAATATGTTGCAGGTTCGATTCCTGGTCAGGGCACATGCCCAGGTTCTGGGTCCAATCCCCAGTGAGGGGCATGCAGGAGGTGGCCAATCGATGTTCTCTCTCATCAGT